TCATTGTACCTCGTAAATTAGTAAATACCATTTTTATCACATACGCTTTCTAAAATTTGTTTTACATTTTATAATTATCATTTTATATGTAGCATCCAAATACTATAAAAATTTATTAAAATAGTAGTAATATGTGTGCTCCATTATATGCAAAGTTATAGTTTCAGTGTTTAGTAAAAAAAAATGATTGTTTCATTTAACGCAAATTCCGTCAGCACGAAAACAACCATAATATGGGAACAAAGACCATGACGAATCAACGTCCAAGGTTTGGCGAAGGTCAAAAGATATTGAGAAATACATTTGTCAGCAATGAAAAAAAGTTAAAAAAGTATTAGCAGATGTCGCCCACAAAAATGAAGCCAATCGTCACTAATGTCTTATTGTTTATTTTTGTACCGCCAGAGAATTAATTTCTCCTTATTATTATTATGTCCTGTTAGAAGTCAAGAATTGACCGAGTATGGTGAGTCACTTGTCTGCCTGTCTTCGGAAATAATCAGAATTTACAAATGGGAACATTTAATGAATTAATCAGACAACTCTGCTAAATTTCAAGGCTGTATTTGTAAAATTTGATTTCTTCCCAGATAAGTTACTGATCATTACTAATAATTCAAAATTCAATCAAGTAAATTTTCTACCAAAATTAAAAATCAAATCGTTATTTGGCAATTCAAACAAAATATTCAATGTACATCAATAATCAAAAATAATTCATATTAAATTGCGGTTATTACTAATTGAGCCTACAATTATTATAAGGCATGTAATTAAAGCAAAAAAAAATTAAGTACGAATTACTGCTTAACAATGTTGATGTTTAATGATATTGAACTTTAAACCATAAAAATGTTTCCTCGTACCAAACAAATAATATGTATATATATATATATATATATAATATATATATCAGTTTTTTTAAATATTGGGTATAACGATAAAAAAAATTATTTCATGATACATACCAAAGCGCATCGGCGACACAAATAATTACATTGGCAATATAGTTACTATAATAATTAATTATAGCATTATGTAAAACGCAAAAATTCCACTAGCAATTATCCAAAAAGGATAAACTATGTGATAAATGATCTAAACCAATTCATATATTTCTATATCATAATTCATACAAAAACAAAGATCATATCGAACATCTGGTCATGACGCAAAGATGTATTTCTGTTCAACTTACTAAATAATATTACATTTATAGATCTGCGTTGGCGATATTGATGTACATTTTATTATGAAATTTATACCAACGATGTATTCGTAAATATATTCAACAACCTTTGGCCGCCGTGATAAATTACTCTCTGCCATTATATGAATCAATGTCATACAACGTATGACGCTAATGTGACGCTTTTAATAAAAAAATGTAATTATCAAACACCTATACAATGCAAATATTTATGAAATGTAATGAATCAATAAAGAATAACATCGTTTTCAAATCGATTTATAACCTTTACGAAAAATGTAGGAGCATATTAATTGATTCAGATAGCGTGATATTGAGCTATTAAAGCAAAAAAATGGTCACATTGCAATACATATCAAATAAATTTTAAGTAAGATATTTTTAAAATTCGCAATTGTTAGAAAAAAATAAACAATAATTAAATTCATATGTAAATGCTCTTCTGATAAAATACATAATGCATTACACCAGCTACTTTATAGGCTTAGAACATATGTTTGCCGTAATGCGGTCATGTGTTGCTTACATAGAAGGGGTACCCATCCATACTTAGAATTCAAATTATGAATATTCATATACACCGTACTTGTGTAATACAGGCGCTATTATCTGACGATTTCATTGTGTTATGAAGATAAATGAGAGTTTTTACACACAAAAGTTAAAATATTATTTAAATTTCAAAATAAATTTATTGTATTATATACTTGTATAATTAATGTATATATACAGTGAGTATAGGTAGTACTCCCCCAGGGCAGGTCCATGAGCTAAGTTAAACTCCAACTCAGGAAAGAATAGTGTGAAAAATTTCCCATTACCATTTACCCAGCAGTGGTAATTTTATTCAGAAACATATTTTTGATCTATATTTTCAAATAAAAATTGACATCGATAAAAGAATAGGGTGCGGTACAAAAAGGATGGAAACTATTGCATTAAACTACGCTATTTGTGACTATGTTACACATTAATCAGATTTGCATTATGTTAAATTACTATTAGATGACATAAAGAACTGTATGTAGAAACGTTTGGCTGAATAAAGGTTCTACTAGAAAATTCACATTATTATTAATAAAACATACAAGGATATTCCTTATTATCTTTTTTTCAAGCACCGTCAATATAATTTAAATAAATTATTACGAACGTTACGGCAACAATCAATAATATTTCAATTTAATGTAAGTTAATTTCATGATAAATTATGGTAAATTAATTATTTCTAACAAAG